AAAAAAAAAAAAAAAGAATGGAATATACCACTCTTACCTGGAGGATCAGTTATTTCGATGCAGAAGAGCAGCCTCAATTTCTAACCCAGGTGCAGAGCTTCAGATAAGGGGTTTCCAGGCACAACATTCTACATTTATCTTGGCATAATGGTTTCCTAGGAAACAGATCCCGAGTCCTCTTGTTAGCTGGGGCCTGATGATAATCCGTTTACACATAGCCTGGTGTGTTTGGGGGCTATCAAAACACTGCTTCTTTAAAATTTTATCTACATTTCTTTCCCCCAAATCCTAGAATAACTAATTGTCTGCCTGTGTTTTGTGACATGCTCCATGATTCCTTCGGTGTTGTTTCCCTTGCAGCAGCAAGTTAATAAACTTAGCTTTGTCAGACTAAAGGTGGTCTTTATCAGATGTGCTTTATTTTGGAGATTACTGATAATGTACACAAAATGTGTTCACACTGCCTGGCACCTAATAGGCATTTAGGAAATGATAAAATTATTATTTTAAAATTATTCATATGTTAATTTAATAAATGCTTGTTTGACATCCAGTATTTGCAAGGCACAGATTTACTGCTACGAGAGATGCTCACTGCAACCTTCGCCTCCCAGGATTAAGCTACAATCCTGTCTCAGCCTCCCAAGTAGCTGGGACTATAGGCCTGAGCCACTGTCCCTGGCTAATTTTTGTATTTTTGGAAAAGACAGGGTTTTGACATTTTACCCAGGCTGGTCTCAAACTCCTGAGCTCAAGCAATCACCCCGCCTCAGCCTCCCAAAGTGCTGGGATTCCAGGTGTGAGCCACTGCACCCAGCTTAAAAACCACTTTTATTTTGTATGGAGAAAGAAAATACTATTTTTAATTCCTAAAAGAAAAATACCTTTAATGAACTTCACTTTAGTGTCAAATGTAAATGAAAAATTTCTCAGGACTATTGTATAGGGAAAAAAGTGTAATTTACATGACTTGCTATAAGATTTGACATAAAACTATGGATTCTAAGAAAGGGTAAGGTTTTATAATGATAACCAAAACAGGCCAGGCTTGGTGTCTCATGCCTGTAATCCCAGCACTTTGGGAGGCCGACGCAGGCGGATCACCTGAGGTCAGGAGCTCGAGAAACCAGCCTGACCAACATGGTGAAACCCTGTCTCTACTAAAAATACAAAAATTAGCCAGGCTGAAGTGGTGCATGCCTGTAATCTCAGCTACTCGGGAGGCTGAGGTGGGAGAATCGCTTGAACCCGGAAGGTGGAGGTGAGCCGAGATAGCGCCATTGTACTCTAGCCTGGGCAACAGAGCAAGACTTCATCTCAAACAACAACAACAAAACAACAAAAGTTCTTGGGGCCGGGCGCGGTGGCTCAAGCCTGTAATCCCAGCACTTTGGGAGGCCAAGGCGGGTGGATCACGAGGTCAAGAGATCGAGACCATCCTGGTCAACACGGTGAAACCCCGTCTCTACTAAAAATACAAAAAAAAATTAGCTGGGCATGGTGGTACGTGCCTGTAATCCAATCCCAGCTACTCAGGAGGCTGAGGCAGGAGAATTGCCTGAACCCAGGAGGCGGAGGTGGCGGTGAGCTGAGATCGCGCCATTGCACTCCAGCCTGGGTAACAAGAGCAAAAACCCCGTCCCGCCCCCCCCCCCAAAAACAAAACAAAACAAAAAAACAACAAAAGTTCTTTACAAAGAGAAAAAAAAATGCTCTCATAAATTCTCCAACGAAAAATAGAGACAGCCACGCTTAAAAAATCCTAAGGCTGGTGGGCAGATCGCTTGAACCCAGGAGTTTGAGACCAGCCTGGGCAACATGGCCAAGCCCCAATACTACAAAAAAAATAAATAAATAAAAATAAAAATTAGCTGGGCATAGTGGCACATGCCTGTAATTCCAGCTACTCCAAGGCTGAGGTGGAAGAATTGCTTGAGCCCAGGAGAGGGAGGTTACAGTGAGCCGAGATCGCGCCACTGCACTCCAGCCTTTGTGACAGAGCCAGGCCCTCTCTCAAAAAAATTCAGTTCAATTAAAAAGAAAATAAAGAAAAAACCCTAAGGCTGAATACAGGCTCATTCACTTGGGGTCTCCTTTCACCCAAGCAAGCAGCTTTCTGTCTCTGCATTTTCCCAAGACTCCAAAGCAGGCTGGGGTGGGGTAGGGTGTAGAACACAGGAAACGCAGCCAGTTCTCCTTCACTTCTCACCATCTTGATCTCCTGCCAAACCAAAATCCTATGTCTTTCCTTTTAACATACGCTTACAAAAATACAGCCTTCTGTGAGAACATTAAGATCATACATCCCAAATTACTAAAGGGGATGATTTTTTAATTTAAAGAGTCTAGTTCTCCAAGAAATCCCGGTTTGGGATAGAGAGGAACAAGTTATTTGGGAGAGATTTAGAAGAAAATGAATTTTAGAAAAGTAGCGAGATAAGGATAGAGTCAGGTTAGCATTTGGATTTTGCAGTCAAACTTCAGCAAAGTGAATTAACCTCGCTGGTGTTAATTTTCTCATTGGAAATAGGGAAAATAATAATGCTTACTTTGATGAGTTACTTTACTTCAACATTTAAAAAACCGACTCTCTGTTATCTAGTCTAACGATAAAAATATAGATAGAACATCGTCCCTTGCTGTGAAAGATCTTATGAACAAGTGAATTTCGGTGAGGATTCACATATAGTATGTGCTCAATAAACATTATTATTTTATTGTGTAGATTAGAAGAGGGGTGGAGGGAGAATTGAAAGCGATGTGGAAACCGCAACCACTACCAAAGCCCTGGGGAATGGAAGTAGAGAGGATTTTTGGATTATGATTTGATTCCGGGTCTGAGTTTCAACGTTGAATTCTCCCATATTTGGGCCTGAATTCTCAGAAGAGAATAGGATGTAAGGGCTGAGATCATCTGGTACAGTTTTTTTTTTTTCCAGAAAACCATGGTGGATTTATTCTTTGAGGAACACACACATTGTCTCTAAAATATACATAAACTTAGTATCACACTTTTCTACTCCTAGAAGTATTTTATTTTGGGGGCTAGCAACAAAGTTAAAATTTCTAACATATCCTTGATATATTAACAGTAGCACATAAAATCTGGCATAAAATTTACCATTTCCTAGGGACTGACTATTACTCAGCAGCTTTGCCTGCCTTCTTTCCAAGGCCAGTTGTTTATTTCTCTCAATTCTTTGTTGTTGCTCTTCTGTTAGGCTTTTACTTGATTCAGAAGCAAACATCTCACTTTCAGATGAGTTTGTCAAAAAGGGATCTAATTCACTAGCAGTTACATCATGTTCATTATTTTCCATAACTTCACCATTATTGCTAACAAAATCTTCATGTAAAATAGGAAGATCAAGTCGAATTCGTTTTAAACAGGTCTGAACTTCCTTTTTACTTCCCAGGTATTCAACTCTGTCAATAAAATCCTCAAACTGCAGTTTAGGGAATAGTCTATGTGCCCAGTGCTCCATGTGTCTGATTAGCGTCTTCAAGTCTTCAGCCTCATGACCTTTACCTTTGAATTTTGCCTTATCAAATACATGCCTTAAGGCTGGAAGTCCTCTCTCTGAAATTAATCTTCATCAGGCTCAGCTCCTTCACCACCTTGTCTCTCTGGAGAGGCTGGAGGTGGGAAAGGAGGAAAAATTTCATCTTCTACATGCTCATAATCTGGTACGTCAATCAATCCATTTTCCTCTGGTTCTAGCATCTTTTCCTCCGCCAGCTCTCACCGCGCGCCCCAGCGCGGACCCCGGCGCGCAGACGAGGCCTCTGGTACATTTTTATGTAAATCGAATATTCTTGCCTCTCGTCACTGTGCCCTGGCGAGAAACACCACCTCCACCCAAGCGCATCCAATCTCAGCCCCCAACTAGGTGACGTCATCGCCCCGGCCTGCATCCCCAGGCCTAGGGTAGTCAGTCGTCTTGTCTCTAAGCTACAGTCCCCGCCCCAGTCCCAGCGGCGCCTGCGCACTATGGAGGGCGGGCGGGGATGACGCGTGCGCGCTGCGTGAGGGTGGGGCTAGTGCGCACGCAGCCTCAGCTCCTACCCCGCCCTTGCTCTTCCCGGTTTCTCCGTCAGCCTGCGGATCCCGGCTGGCGGCTGCTTCCGGTAGGAGAGCGGTGTAGGGCGAGCAGGTCTCAGCTCCTCGTCATGTCATACGGTCCCTTAGACATGTACTGGAACCCGGGGCCCTCAGGGCCCCAGCTCCGGGACTTCAGCAGCATCATCCAGACGTGCAGCGGCAACATCCAGCGGATCAGCCAAGCCAGTGAGCCGGGGCACCGAGCTGGGGGGCGGGAGCGGTCCCGGGGACAGGCCTGGGTTAGGCTGCCTGGACGTGGAACCCGGCTGGGGCTACGGCCGAGGCCACGTCTGGGGCTGTCTCGGGTTGTCCACCCTGGGGGCGATGAGCTGCCATCCCCTGGTCTGTCAGACCCGTGCTGCTCTAGGGTCTCCGGCCTCAGTTGAAGCTCGAGTTTCTTTTCTTGTGTTCTGCCCCCACAGTACTGGGGCCAAAACAGCCGACTTGACAGCCCGAGGGTAGGAAGGGGTGTGTGTGTCACCTCGAGAGCTGTGAGCGCGTTGACTTGGCGCAGTGGTCAGCCCAGTTTCTCCTGTCATCCACCTTCCTCCCTATCCACCTCGCTTTCCTCTTAGGCCAGTTTGGATGGGGTTGTTTACTGATTTAGGCTTTAGGTTTACATTCTGCTCAGCCCCTGGCTCCTCGGAAATCAGCAGCTTTCAATTAAGGGAAGTGGAGAGTGCATGTGTTTGGGTGACTTCATACACAGTTCTTCCTGTAATGAATTCGGAAATCAGACACAATGACTGGTATTTGAGAGATGGGATGACTTCTGTTTTAATAAAGAGAATTCACCAACAACATTTCAATTTACATTATTTTGTCTTTTTTAACAAAGAATTGGGGTATATTTTTTATTTCAGGCAGATGAAGTTTTTGTTTTCCTTCCATACTTAGCTGCTCTTGAACAAATCTGGTACACAGGGAAGCTCAGAGACTTAGCCACAACCACATAGCAAGTAAGGCATGGTAGAGTTGTTGGTGGAATTCAGAATGGTATTGCTTGTCTTAAAACTCCCTCCTCCCCATTAGGGTCTGAGTGAAACTGTAGCTGAATGAGCCAAATACAGGGTGTTTCTTGTGATTGAAATTCATCTTAGAGCCTTATAAACAGGAGATCAACAGCAGCTTTACTTGGAAAGAATGGTGATCATCCTCCTTGTTTATTATTGTGTTTTGTGAGCTTGGTATACTCTGCTAATAGGTAGAACTAGTTAGTCCTGAATTACAATTATATTCTATATTTTAAAGAATATCACTTTGCTTTAGTTTTTAAACTTTAAAAAAAATTTTTCTTTTTTGTAGAGATGAAGTCTCACTATGTTGCCCAGGCTGTTCTCAACCCCCTGGGCACAAGCAGTTCTCCCACCTCAGCCTCCCAAAGTGCTGGGATTACAGGCATCAGCCACAGTGCCCAGCCTAATTTTTTTTTAATTTTTGAAAGTTTTAAAAAATTAAATATTTTTAAATTATTTTTTTGAGACACAATCTAGCTCTGTCATCCAGGCAGAGTGCAGTGATCTGAGTGAAGTGGTACGATCCTAGCTCACTATAACCTTGAATTTCTGATCAGCTTCCTAACTAGTGAGGACTACAGGGATGCACTATCATGCCAGGCTAATTTTTAAATTTTTTGTAGGGATGGGGTCTCACTATGTGGCCCATGCTCACTTTGCTTTTATAGTTAAATGTATATATTGTAGAATTTAAGAGGTAGAAAGTTTCTGATCAAAAGGGATTGAGACTGGGAGATTTGGAAGAAAGGAAGACTATGTGGCCTGTTAAAATCTAGAAGTAAAAAAAATTAATATGACCACTGGTTAGAAAGTACACTACTTTTCGTTTCAGTTTCCTTTTGTGAAGGAGCTGTAATACAGGTTAGATCAGAAAATTCTAGTTCAAGGATGAAATTTTCTTGTTGAAGCTAAATCTAATTTTAATATCTGAAATATTCATTCAACATGTATCCATCTATCCACTTCATAGATGGATAATTGTATATGTACATATACATATATATTTTAACCGGAATACTCCCACAGGTAGCTCCGACATACAGTTTAAATTTAAATTTTTATTTTGAGACAGGGTCTTACTCTGTTACTCAGGCTGAAGTGCAGTGGCATGATCTCAGCTCACTGCAGCTTCAACTTCCCTGGCTCAAGCAATCCTCCTGCTTTAGCCCTACAGGTAGCTGGGACTACAGGTGTGCACCATCATGCCTGGCTAATTTTTACGTTTTTTGTAGAGATGGGTGGCCGGGCGTGGTGGCTCAGTGGCTGGGCATGGTGGCTCATGTCTGTAATCCCAGCACTTTGGGAGGCCGAGGTGGGTAGCTCCAAGGTCAACAGAGCGAGACCATCTTGGCCAACATGGTGAAACCCCATCTCTACAAAAAAAGAAATAAAAAAAAAGAGATGGAGTTTCACCATATTGCCCAAGCTGGTCTCGAACTCCTGGGCTTAAGTGATCTACTTAATAGGCTTCCCAATAGGCTAGGATTACAGATGTGAACCACTATGCCTGGCCTTCAACCTTCATTTATTTGAGTATGTAGTAAGTATTGGAACTGGCATGGATCTTTCAACAGGGAACCTGTGGAGCACATAACCAAAATATAAAGTTGAAAGGGACTGGTGCTATAGAAGAGATATAAATAACATGCAGGTATTCTGGGGAGAGAGAGATTTTTTTTTTTTTTTTTTAAGACAGAGTCTTGCTCTGTTGCCCAGGCTGGAGTGCAGTGGAGCTATCTGAGCTCATTAAACCTCTGCCTCCCAGATTCAAGTGATTCTCCTGCCTCAGCCTCCTGAGTAGCTGGGATTATAGGCGTGCACCACCACACCCGGCTAATTTTTTTTTGTATTTTTAGTAGAGATGGGGTTTCACCATATTGGTCAGGCTGGTCTTGAATGCCTGACCTTGTGATCTACCCACCTCAGCCTCTCAAAGTGCTGGGATTATAGGCATGAGCCACTGTGCCCGGCTGAGAGATCGTTTTTAATTGAGAAGACATTGTGGCATTTGAGTTATGTCTGGAAAGAGGATAGAAAGATTTGGACCTTTGAAGGTAAAGAGAACAAGAAAATTCCAGGAGGGAATAAAATGAATAGGCATCATAGTGGGAAAGCGTAGGGTATATCTAGAAGAGTAATTTAATTTGGCTAGAGTGGTAGATTCCAGAAAGTAGTGGGAAGAAAAAGAGTTGAAAGGTAAATAGGGGCCCAAACATGAAGGATGTTAAATGCTAAGCTAAGGAGCTTGGATTTAATTCTTTAGGAAAGTGTGAATTGAATTCAAGGGGAGAGAGACCGGAATCAGAGATACCAGTTAGGGCTGTGAAAATGAAAGGAAAGGAAAGGATAGGTTTCCTTGGTGATAGAATTGGTAAGATTTAGCTATTGATTGGGCATTGGGCCCAAGGGGATCATTGAAGTCAGCTGTGAGTAATATTGATAGCTAACATTTGAGTACATACTATGCGCCCGCAGTATGAAAAATGCTTTACCTGCATTATTTTATAACAACTCTGAAGCACCAGCATCATTTCCATGTTATGTGTTAGGAAACAAACTGAGAAAGGTTAAGTAGTTGCCCTGCTAACAAATGACAGTATATGGATTGGAACTAGTCTGTCTTTTATGACCAGCAATTTGTCTTTTTATAATTTTTGATTGTTATTACAGTTCTGAGCTGTGCTGAGTGGCTCATACCTGTAACCCCAGCACTTCAGGAGGCTGAGGAGAGAAGATTACTTGAGGCCAGGAGTTTGAGACCAGCCTGGACAACATAGCAAGACCCCATCTCTACAAAAAAATTTAAAGATTAACCAGACATGGTAGCATGTGCCTATAGTCCCAGTTACTCAGGAGGCTGAGGCTCAAGAATCTCTTAAATCTAGGAGTTGGAAGGCTGCAGTGAGCTATGATTATGCCACTGTACTCCAGCCTGAGTGCCAGAGCAATACTTTGTCTCTAAATAAATAAATTAAAAATAAATAAATAAATAAATAACAGTGATATAGCAGTTAACATTTCAGGTTTACAAATATGCAAATAACTTGTTTTTTCACTCTCCAGAGGACACTCTGTGGGGGAAATACCTGAAGCTGTGGTGCTTTCTCTTCTTGTGGTGTGTTCATCTCCTCTGCCAGATTTTTAGCTCCTTTGAGGCAAGGGACATGACTTATTCATCTTTATATTTCCAGTACTTATCTCAGTCCCAAACATGAAAGATCCGTTGATCCACTATGCAACAAATATTCTTGGAGCACCTGCTGTGTGCTGGGGTAAAGCAGTGAACAAGAGATAAAATCCCTTTCCTGACTGCGTGTGTATGTGTGTCTCTTTGTGTGTGTGTGTTTGTGTGTGTACACACATATGTACATACACACAAAAATAATGTCAAGTAATAAATGCTCTGAAGAAAAAGCAGGGAAAGTGGATAGAGAGTGAGGGAAGAGGGAGGGTGGGTGTACTATTTTAGTTGATCAAGGAAGGCCTCTCTGAGGAGGTGACATTTGAGTGAGTAGATGTGAATGAAGTGGGTGAGAGAGCTGTGTGAGTAGCTGGGGAAGGCATTCTAGGTAGAGGGAAAGAGCAAAGACTTTGTGTTCAAAGAAAAGCAAGAAGGAGGCTCATGTGGCTGGAGTACAGTTAGAAAAGGGAGG